CATATATATCTTTATCCGATTTCAAATTAATTGTGCACCAAATGGGCAATACAATTCCGAATTTAAAAGATACAAATGCTTCGGCATATTTAGTCCTTTAAACTTTAAATTATAATTCTAATCATAGAGTGTATGAGTAAATTCTCCGATAAAAACTTTTAATTGTTATGTGGAGCTCTACTTAATTAGCAAAGTGGTGTAAGGTGTCATAAAGTCGGCCCGCCCGACTTTAAGACTTTCTTTACTGGTTTTTAATATTGTTTTCTATTTTATTTCAAACATGATATTGCACTTTCCTTGTGTTCTATTATTATAAAAACAATTTATTCAAATTGCATTAAATTTATTACAAAAAAGAATAATAATAATAAATGTCATTAAAAAAAGTTTAATATCTTCATTTCAAATCTGCTGATTCCATTCGAAATTGACTTGTCAATAATTCAAATGAAATGTTAGAAAGGTGGGTAGGTGTCTGTCAATTGGGCATCAACAACACCTTGTTTTGTGCATAAATCTTTAACAATAACAGCGAAACAATGTTTTCTCTTTTTTTGCATTACAATTCAAATGTCATAAACAATAATTACAGTTCATGAACTGTACATTTCTTTTTTAAAAATATTTTTAATAATAACAATTTTCGGTTTCACTTCTTAAGCACACAGTTTTATATTCCAAACAATAGATTAATCCCCTAATTACTTAATTGAAATTTCAGAATTAAAACAAATTTCTTTTGTTGTGGTTAAAACAAATAATTACTCATTGTTCTTAAATGATTAAATTCATACTATTTACATTCATTTCATTGACAGTTTTATTTCAATGTAACAAATGAAAACCGCATCATTTTCCAAAATTTTGCAAAAGTTAATAACCTTTTTATGCATTCGCTTTTTATAGCGAAAGTTCATGTAGGTGTAATTGAACTTTGCAGCAGCGTTTAATTTAGTTCATTCGATTACCTTTTAATTGAAATCTGAATCAGAATTTTTTGTAATTTACAACATGACAGTTGTGACAGAGCGAGAGTGAAAACCATCAGTTAAATGAAATTCAGAGTCTTATTGTGAGTCAACACATACGAAGGTGTTGGGGACCCATTTGGAGTATTTTGCGTAATAGAGTATTTGAAAAAAAATCAAAAAAATAGATATTTTGAAGAAAAAATCATTAAATTTATTCAATATGAAACAAGTAAAAATGTAGTAAGTTCGGCCCTCCACCATTTGGAATGAATTTAGAAATTTTCAAAAATAATAAAATTCGTTAAAAATTCTTTTAAAATCTTAAAATTACCGAATATAACCGTTATATTGGGGTCTACACGGAGACGTGGACCTGCATAGGCAACTTTCGTCATGAGCCATTACAATATGCAAATACGAAACTTGAAAAAAATCCGGTGAATAATGTAACTGAAATCATCAAAATACCTAATATGGGGAGATACTATTATATGGAGACTATACAAAGACGTGGGCCTGCATTCGCAATTTTTTGTCATAGGCTGTAGTCCCCATTACGAATTCTTAATATGAAATTTGAAACAACTCCGGTAAATAATGTTCCTAAAATCGTCAAAATATCGAATATGGGGGGGGCTATACGATATCGTGGAACTATATAGACATTTCTCTTTCAGGGGGTAAAGTGCTTAGAAAGAATTTCTAGTATGCATTTTTACAACAATTCCATTGAAAAATGTAGCAAACATCATCAAATTACCGAATATGGACCTAGAATAGACAATACTCTTCCAGGGGTAAAGTAATCAGAAGGAACTCCTTTTGTGGATTTTCAGACAATTTCATTGAAAAATTTGGCTACAATCGTCGAAATACCGAATATTGGGGGCTCTACGATATCGTGGACCGATATCGCCCATCTTCGAACTTGACGTGCCTGCAGACAAAAGACTGATCTGTGCAAAATTTTAGTTTCTTTGGCTTCTTTATGGCTTCTTTATTGATTCTAGCCTGATTACAATAGACGGACGGACACACAGGGCTTAGTCGTCTTAGAACTTTACGCTGATTCAGAATATATTTACTTTGTTATGTCTAAAATTATTATTTAAATGAGTTACAAACGGAATGACGAACTTAATGTACCCTCCATACTATGTATGGTGGAGGATATAAAAATGAGGGCTTTGTTCCCACTTAAAAAGATTGCCAAATTTGACCCTAGATATAAACCATTCAGGAAATAGCTTGAAATTCCTTAAAAAAAAATCAAGCCAATGGACCTTTGAGGGTCCTCTTGAAATTCCTTAAAAAATCCAAGTCCGTGGACCTTTGAGAGTTCACTTGAAATTACTTAAAAAACCCACGCTAAAAGACCTTTGAGAGTTCACTTGAAATTTCTTTGAAAATCCAGACTTATAAGCTTTGGAGAGTCCTCCAACAATTCTCTAATAAATCATGCCTAAAACCTTTTAAAATCCTCTTGAAATTCCTTAAAAAATACAGACCCATATATTTTTTAAATCCTCTTAAAATTACTTAAAAAAATCAGGTCTGTACAACTTTGATAGTCCTTTTAAATTTCCTCAAAAAATCCACGCCGAAACCATTTGAAAGTCCTCAAGAAATTTCTTAACAAATTCAGGCCTGTAGGACTTTGAGAGTCCTCTTGAAATTCCTTAAAAAATCCACGCCTTTAGACTTTTGAAATTTTGGAATCCCTTCAAAAATCCACGTTTCTTGACCTTTTAGAATCCTTTGAAATTCCTTTAAAAATCAACGCCTGTAGACTTTGGGAGTTATCTTCAAATTACTTAAAACGTGGGAGTCCAATTGAACTTCCTTAAAAAATCCACACCTATAGACCTACCTTTTTCACTATACTGGGGTGGGAATGGGACTTCCAGAATTTCAAGTGTGGGAATACATAAAGCACATATTTAGGTGGCTTAAGTCATCGGCTGGCTTCTTCGTGGAGGAACAAAGGAGTTTTAGGTTGACTTAGTTCGATTTTGGCCCTAGGTGCCTTTATTCATTTTCGAAGAAACCAGTCGATGACTTGAGCCAGCCAAATAAGCGCTTTATGTATTCCCACCTTTACGTTGAAAAATGTGATACAAATTATCAAAATATCGAATATCGAGAGGCATCGTTATATGGGGGCTATACCAAGACAAGGACATGCACAGTCAATTTTCTGCTACAGACTGTATCACCTATTAGTAACTTCAAATACGAAATTTGAAACCATTCCGGTGAATTATGTCTCTAAAATCATCAGAATACCGAATACAGGGAGGTGCAGTTATATGGGGGCTGTACCTAAACGTGGACCTATATATAGCCCATTTTCAATAACAAAAGTCCTGCATACCAAAGACACACCTTAATAAAATTTTATCAACCTTCTTCAATTCCTTTGGAAGCTGTGATTCCAACGGATGGACAGACAGACGGACGAACATTGCTAAATCGAAATCGAATTTGATGCCGAATATGTATATATTGTAAGGTCTAAAATTCGATGAGTTACAAACAGAATGACAAACTTAACAAACCCTCCATACTATGGAGACTTTTAAAATCATATTTCGCAATATCACCGATAAATAACACAATATTCGAAATTTCAGAATTGTAGCTCTAACAGTACAAATGTAAGTACCAGTATACATGTAGTAGCATTTTTGAATGAAAAATAATTAAAATTTGTATAAATTGTTAAAAAATATATTTCCTAACAACCTCTGATTGGCTTCGTATAGGAAAACATATGCATGCCAACTTATTTTTGAGGAAACATTAAAACGTGGTCCCAAGCGTTGATGCATCTACCTGTATTCTTCTACCATGGTACAGAGCAATATACAAGAAACAGGATTCATCGCCCACATGCCAAATTTCAAGATTCTAGGCCTTACCGTTTCTCCTGACATTAAAGAGAAAATCAGACAATCATGCTTCCAACTATTGACATATTTTCAATAACAATTTACCTCTTACAAAAACAACAATGTTCTTTTTGCTAAACTGTAAATTGTTGTATTTAAAGTCTACACCTTATTCATTGCACCATGCTACCTTGTTATAATTCTACCATGACCTTTCCTTTCAAAATGATTAATGTAATATAATAAAAACATTTTAGATCATAAATTCAAATTCAATTATTAAAATGTGTTAAATTCTAAAATAAAATCGATTCCCATAAAAAACCTCAAATAAAATAATGATATAAAACAATTTATAATTGTGCTGTAATGCTGTGGAATATATTAAGTGTGGTTGTCGCGTTGATATCAATTAAAATGGAATTTCACAATTTTGAAAGGTATTAAAACCAGGGAGAGGTCAATAATCTGCACCGTATAAAGTTTATACCGGTAAAACGAAATGTTTTCATTTGTCGGTAATATGCTCTCTTGTTACACTGCCCCCAAATGTATAAATTATGGATATATTGATCCCGTCTTTAATTTCATACATGTGAGTATCACCATCAGCATCGTATCTGATCTGATCTTGAATTTTGATTTTATTTCGATGTGAAATTCATATCAAGGGGTGAATGAACAAAAAAACACAAAAATATATTAAAAAGTATGGGAAAAGCAAAGGTTTTGAGGCAAAGATCTGTTTTGCTAATTCCAAAGGGAAAACATTCCAATACATTTTTTTTTAATTAAAATACGAATTTTATTTTATAAATCAATAGCTACAAAATACTCTGCAAATGTATAGTTTGCGGTGCCAAGTTCTCTCTGACATGCTTTTTTACTTCGGACATCTTGGCCCAATTTTTATCTACTATTCTCACTTTTCAAGTCAAAAATGTAAAGGAACAAATCTTTCCTTATCTTCCTTCAGAGTTCCTTTTTCTTTAAAACATGCCTTTTTATTCATAAACCAATAAACATAAAACATTTTGAAAATATGTTTTCTATAGATGTTATAATTCTCTGGCATTTTCCCTTAACTTCGATCATCTTGGCCCAAGTTTTTCTCTGAAAACAAAAATATTCCTGTATATATTTTTATATGTACATTACAATTTTATTAATTTATCATGGAATTCTTTTTGTTTTATTTTGTGAACTACAAAAAAAGATATGGATGTTAAAGGAAAAATTAAACAAAATTTTCACCAATAAAAATAGAAAAATGCATGGTGGGAGAAGCAAGTGAAACATTTAACATGGAAATGTTGGGGTTACAGTAGGTAAACATAAAGAATATAACATGTTTGGGGTTGGTTGTTTTTGTGTTTTGCTCTACAACTAAACTATGAATATTGGTAAAAGTATGGGGATGTTTGTTTTGCATTGAAAAATTACTAAAGGATCTAATCACTTTCATCACCGCCTTCTTCAGATTCTTCTTCTTCCTCTTCGGATGCAGAGGCTTCTTCTTCCTCCTCTTCTTCTTCACTTTCGGCTTTCTTTTTGGAATCTTTTGATTTTTTGTCCTTATCACCTTTGCCCTTGTCCTTGTCACCCTTGAAGATACATAAAAATTATTATAAAAGGAATATGTTTAAATTTGCAATTTAAGTTGCATTATTTTACCTTTTTACTCTTTTTATTTTCTGGCTCTGAATCGGATTTTTTCTTACCACCCTCATCCGATGAGCTATCATCCTCTGATATATATTCCTTGGACTTAAATGAACCTGAGGTATTTGCCGATTTTTTGGGTGAAGCACTTTCCTTCTTGCGTTTCTTGGTCGCTTTGCTTTTTGAGGCAGCACCACCTTCATCATCACTGTCTTCGGCTGCTGGTTTATAGTCTTTCATTTCATCAATATAACGTTGTTTATCCTTGGCTGCCAACTCTTCCCATTTTGACTTATCTTTAAGTTCCTTCCACAGTTCGCCAGCCTTTTTGGCAATTTCGGTGACCTTAATGCCGGGGTTGTCGTTTTTGATTTGCTCACGAGTATCATTAAGCCATAGCATAAACGCAGTAGTGGCACGTTTGGGTTTGTTGGCATCTTTCTTTTTGGAGGCTTTTTTCTAAAAGACAAAAATTTTGTTGGAGTTAAAAACTCAAAATTGGAGGATAAAATAATTTGTTTTAGCAAAAAGGGGAAATATACTAGGTAAAAAGGAAGTGTTTCTAATGAAATGTAGGATGTGTCGAGAGGAGTTGTGCGGCTTGGATTCTTTGCTCTTCCATTAGTTAAGTCTTGATCTCCCATTAGTCAAGTCTTGGGATAGTAAATGTTATAATTCTCTTTATATTGTGGATTATAGATGTCCTAGATAGAATGTAACATTCAATGTGGAATTAGCTCCCAAATCTTGGATCCTTTGGCCTCCCATCAGTCAATTCTTGGAGCTATTGAGGTGACAAAGTTTGGGTTCGCTTATATATATCATAGATCGTGTTTATATATCAATATAGGATTTGCTTCTAAGTCTTGCTGTTAGATTTCATAAAATATCCTTTTTTTATACCACCGTTATTGGTTCTGATCTGCGAGAACACAGCAAATTTATGCCTAGACCTGCAAACTCGTTTATTACCAGACTCCTCAGTAGAGGAGACTGGTACTTCTCCTTGTGACATGTTTCTATTAACCAAAAAGGAAAGCCTATCCAATGCTGATTTTATGCTTGATTCTAACATTTTGGTATTTCATTATTTTAAACCATTTCCAAATTATCACCAAAGAACCCTCTAAGACAGACCTCTCATAAATATTAAATAAACGATAAAAATTTATAAATCTTTCTATGTTGGATAATGAATTATTCAAACTCACCGTCTTCTCTTTCTTTTCCGTCTTCTCCTTTTTCTCTTTCTTTTCCTTTTTGGGTTTTTTCTTCTCCTTCTTTTCGGCACCACCCTCATCACCGCTACCGCCGCCACCACCTCCACCACTGGCATCTGAATCTTCCGAGTCACTGGCCACATTCGAGTCATATTCTTCGGCAACATCTGATTCATTTTCATTGGGTTTGAAATCTTCATCTGTCGATTCTTCTTCAGAGCCGTCTTCATCATCTGAATCCTTTTCCCTGGCTTCAGCCTTAACACGGGCCAAATAAGCATCCGGCTCATTTTCATTATCCGAATCGCCGAAATCAACATCTTTATAGCCACCCTTATCTTTGCCCACATTACTTATATTCAATTTCTTCTGGTTGATGAAGTCAAATAATTTGGAATATTCCTCCTTTTCGATGGAAGAGAATGTGTGAACTGTGCCATTTTTGAGGGTCACCTCAAAATCAAAACTACGTGTTGAGCCACCGCTACGGGCAAAGTTAACAGAGGCTATTTCTTCGAAACGTATGTGCACTGGGGGTTTGTGTATGTATATAAAGCCACGTTCCAAAGGATAAAGATAACCTGCGGCAGCTTTGAAAGAACAACCCACAGCAGCTGTACCGGAATGACTAAAACATAAATGACAGATTACTAAAGTTTCTAAGTTTTCTCAACCCTCTAAACTTACCCCACAAAGTTTCCAGGTCCAGTGATCTTGCGGCCAATTAATACCTTCATTACCTTACCCATTACCTCATACAACGGTCCAGAAATTTCCTTTTCCAGCTTGCCTTCATATTTCTCTTTCAATTCCTCCTCGGTGAATGGCAACTCAATAGAGGTTTCCTCTTCAGGACTAAACAACAACACCAAATAATGATAACGTGTCTGACCTTGTTTGATCGGAGGATCCAGGGATAAGACAAAGAACATCTGCCGATTATCTTTGTGTGGCAACAGGAACAGCCTCAGCACAGAATCCATGGGAATTTTGTAATCAAATGTTTTGCCATGAAGTTGAAAGAATGTGGAGAAAACTTTGATATCATAACGACCTCTGGGTGTAAGACAATGGATTTCCCTGAAGATGGCAACGGCATCACCAGACGCTGAAATAACCGAAGCTTTGCTCATAACATTTGTCTGGAACGTCTCAACAGGGTCTTCTTCGGCCGATTCCACAGCCGGTATATGAAAACGCATTTCCATTAGACCCACAGGGGCATCATCGTTTTGATGAAATTCAATGGTCACCTCGTTCTTGCCCGTTGTACATTGCGATACATGAGACAGCGGTATTTCGAAGATCATTTTACTTTCTTTGTCAAAACTTAGCACAGATCCTTTAAAATTGGCTGTACCCCAATTCCAACCCTTAACACACATTTCCTTTTCCACCATATCCTGATGATAAGCCTTCTTAATAAATTTGCCCAATTTCTCATTTTCACTGTCTTTGAAGCCAACAAATCGATAGAGATTTCCAGATTTGGTGAACACCCGTATGCCCCAATTACCCACGAATTTCTGGGAGTTAATTAAATCTATATCATCGGCTGATATAGTGTCCACTTTGCCTGTTTTACTATTTTTATAGACAATATTCTGTTCGGACAGTTTCAAACGGCCGGGCGTCTGCAAAAATATTTAAAAAATAATTAAATGCTTTTACTTCCTTGTTGCACGAAGAATTAAGGCATTCAACTTACCATTACACCTCGTACTTCTGCTGAGATATCATATTCCAGTGCATCAGTCATGTTTTTGCAAAGATAGTTTTGATAGTTTAAGGACAAGGAATTGATGAATTTTTATGAAATTTTGCGTATTTAATTTCGCAATTTTTTGAGTGCCGGCACGCTTTTCGATTGATTCTCTCGAACAAAACAATGCAGACACAAGCTTGCTTTGCGCCTTCTGCAAAATGATGGAATGAAAGAATGTCAGTTAAGAATCGCAATGAAGCAAAAAATAATTCACTGTGAATTGATAACTTTGGTATAAAGAATTGCCATATTAAATCAATGTCGGTGTTGCCATACTAAAAATATATTTTCTGCTAGAAGTTTAGACTATGGATCATGGTAGAAGAATATAGGTAGACGTATCGAATGTCAAACCAATTTTGGAATTGAAAATGTTGAATGAAATTTTTTTTAAATTTGTAAAAATTGTTGAAAAAGGCATTTTATAATAACCTCCGAATGACGTCGTATAAGAAAACATATAAAAAGCTACTTATATTTGAAAATAAATTAAAAAAATTTTGACATATCAATGCTCCCAAGCGTTGATGCATATACCTGTATTTTTCTACCATGCTATGGATGCACAAGAATTCAAGATCAAATTAATGCCAAATAAATGAAAATAGATCAAGTATCAGTTTAAAGGTTTAAAAGCAGCCTGAGCCTATCTTTAAATTATAAAGTGTTCAGACAACGAAAAAGTCGTTTTACCTGTGTAAATGGTATGTTTACACACACACAGCTTATACTTTTTTAAAAGTAAAAAACAATTCAGTCCATGTATAAAATATTTTTGGTAGACCCATTGTAGAAGAATATAGGTAGTTGCATCGACACAGCTGCTGGGACAATGAACTGTCAAACCTATTTTTAAATTGAAATTTTTGAATGAAAAAAATTATTAAAATTTGTTAAAATTATTAAAAAAAAATGCATATCATAACAAACTCCGATTTGTGTTGTATAGGAAAACATATATAAATATACTTATTTTTGAAAAAAATAAAAAATAAAACATTTAAACATTTTTGACATATCAACGGGTAGACAATACCATGAGTAGACTCATGGTAGAAGAATATAGATAGACGCATCGACACAGCTGCTGGGACAATAAACTGTCAAAACCAATTTGAAATTAAATATTTTGAATGAAAAATTATTAAATTTGTAAAGATTCTCCGAATGACGTCGTATAAGAAAACATATAAAAATCTACTTATATTTGAAAAGACATTTAAAAATTTTTGACATATCAATGTTGATGCGTTGATTGATCTACAAGTATTCTTCTACCATGGGTAGAGCATAGAAAACATCTGAATACAATTTTTTCTTTTTTCTTACGAGATTTTCAAACACAGCTGACAACTATACATTCAGAACAATGGCGCAATAAGAAAGGTTATTCAACTTCTAAGCATTATTGTGTCAAATAGACTTTCAAATATGCAATAGTAGGTTTTGTTTATTTTTATTTTTTTAACTAAATTCTTATTCTGAGAAAATCCCGCGAAACAAGAAATGAATTTCGGGGTTATTCCACAAGATTGAATCTAAAAGAATAGGACTGTACAGTTTTATCACAAAATTGTATAATTTGTTATCCATTTTGTCGAAAATTCGCGTTTATTTTGCAACCAAATTTGTAATAATTTAAATTATTGTAATTTTTATTCAAACAATACACACACAAAAAGAAAAAATCGCATATAGGGGGTAGCTTTGTTCTACCTAATTTATAAATTAAATTTATATAAAATTATTCATTTTTACCTTTTGTGGGGGTTTAAAGCTAGTCATTATCATAATTTGATTCAATGTAAACACATTATAAGCATTAATGAACTAATTTCCTAATATGGCAAGGCTACATAGTTGTTTTATACATGGCAATGCCATTAGTTTGTTTATAATTGCCGGTAGTTTACTGGCAACGCCATATAACATGTTGAAGTAGAAATTGACTATTGCACAAAATTATTAAATTTGTTAAGGAAATTGAACAAAAATGGATGCTGTAAGTAACATATGATAGTAATAATTAAATAAAATCAAATAACTACAGTGTATTATTTATTTTCAACAGGAATTGAAACAAAAAATTGAAAGTTGTGTCCGTACGGCCGAGGATTTCACAAAATTATACTACCAGTCGTTTGATAAAAGAAGACATGTAAGTGGCTGTCTTCTAAGAGTATTTTAAAAAGAATTTAAAAATGTATTTATCTTGCAGCAAATTAGCCGTTTATATTTGGAAAATGGTCTGTTTGTATGGAATGGCAATGGTGCCTCTGGCAAAGATAACATTCACAAATATTTCATAGAGCTACCCTCGTCGGAGCACACAATCTCCACACTGGACGCTCAACCCATAGTTGATGATGCTGTAGCAGGCCAGCTAACATATTTGATACAATCTGGTGGTACTGTCAAATATACAGATCAACCTGTGAAGCCATTTCAGCAAACTTTCATCATAACCGCCCAAGATGACAAGTGGAGAATAGCCAGCGATTGTTATCGTCTGCAGGATGCTTTGGTAACACAAAACAAATAAATGGTGGGGTGGGAGAAGCAATTTTCATCAGTAGTTCTAAGATAAAATTTTGTACTGACTTTGTAAAGAAAATAATAAAAAGTAAATGTAATAGTTTCTAAATTAAAATATATAGAAATGGAATATAATTTTTTAGGCTAAGATGGAAACATTTTTGTCGAGAAGCAGACGAACCAGCTACCATCATGGGAACCATTCTTCTGTGATGTCAAGCAAAAGCTAAAACCTTACCAGATTTTTTAACTTACAATTGTCGAGTGGCTAGGGTGATTTGATCATATTTTACAGTATCGAAACTCCCACATACTCTATCAACGCCCTAGATTTTCCCTTCCTGGAATAAATTCAATGGACGTCTAGGTCCCAGTGAGGAATAGTTAACATAATGTAAGCTAATATACTCTCGACTATATAGATGGTAACTTCTGAATAAAGATAAGAATGATGGATAGATTCTTTTCCAAGCTTCTGAATAAAACCAATTTGTTACCAACATTTTCAATTGGGAATACATCCAAACTATTTTAACACAATATAACCCAACCCCTTTAAAACAAAATAAAACAATTATATTTCATATTTTATTCTTTTCATAAACGCATTGAATACAAGTGTCATCATGCTTTAAAATTAATGTCTTAATCCATTTTACTTAAACATCTAATTGGCTCCTGTAGTTAGCATTCAAACCACATCAGTTTCTTAACTTTCCGATCTTAAATACTATACATAACCTCACATAAATATATATATGGACCTACAAATCAAACAGGCATATACATGTGTATACTTAAATATATACATTTATTCCTTCTTAGCTTTCTTATTGCCAGGTTCGTCGTCACCATCATCATCACCATCTGCACCACCTTCTGTGCCGGATGAAAACACTGGTTTCGGTTGTGTTTGTTTATAGGCCGGTGCAATCCAATATGGATTTTCTTCAGCTTCTTTGGCGTATTTCAAAATGGCTTCGCGGGGATCTTGATCATCATCGACACGCTTACTCAGACCCAAATTACGTATAACATATGAACTGAGAGTGCCACCGGAACTAGCAACACGACCACCCTGACCACTTGTGATGGGCAAATCTGGTCGCCTGGATTTAACTGGATCCAAACGATCTTTTTCCATTTTCTTGCGCGACGATCCCGATTTCTCTTGGCGGAACATAGGCAGGGCATGGGGAGTTATGATTTGCGAAACACCAACAACTTCCACTTGTCGCTTCTTGCGATATTTCTTGACGGCACACAATTTGGCTCCCCTCAACGATCTCTGCTCGTCGTAGTAACATTTTATGACACCATTACCACAGCCCACAAACAATTGATTTAGCTTGGGATGCCATAATGTTTTTATGATATGCGAATCGGTGACTGCAATTCTCTTGATTTCTTCAAATGTTTGAGTATTATAGAAATGTAAATTGGCTTCTTTCTCCCCCTTGGCTAGGGATTCTCCGGTTACCAATATCTTATCATCCGGACTAAAACAACAGTCGGTGGTGTCATAACGTGAATATAGATTTGACCAAACATGCAAGGGCTGTTTGAAACTTCTGATATCCCACAGCTTCATGGTTTCATCATTACATCGGGTGGCCAATTGCTGGCCCAAATATGAAAACATAATTGAGGTTATTTCGGAACCCTTTTGATGAGCACCCCTCAAGCAATGGGTTGTGTTGACGAACATTTTTCGTGTATCCCACATTTGTATGGAACCATCGATACAACCAGCCGCAATAAGAGTGGCATCCCGATTATAGGCACACGATGAGGCATTGGTCTTTAGACCACCCTGTGCCCTAATCTTTATGACCGTGTGCTGTTCCTTATTCTTTATGCCTTTCCAAATACGCAAAGTGCCATCCATGGCTGCAGTTAGAAATTCTTCTTTAGTATATGGATGCCAGCAGCCGGAAGTCAATTGTGCCGTATGTCCCTTTGTCTTGGACATATCGGTAATATAAAGATCACCCTTGACACATTCCATTTTCTCGAAACCATCTCTATCTAATATCTTTGCCTGGGAATTGCCGGAAATGACTAAAATCATATCTCCCGTTATCGAATAGTGCAGATCACGTATGGGATAATTTTCGCATGGTTGTATGGTACGGAAACTACGCATAGACGAATCCATACCAGCAAAATCCCAAAAGGATACTTCATAATCTATGGAACCAGATACCAAACGGGCACCAGCAGGATCTCCAGCTAAGGCCAAAATGGCTTTGGAGCCATGCTGCATTTTAACTTCATGACTATCGGGGATTTTCTTTTCCAAATCTTCATCTTCGTCGTCGTCATCATCATCGTCGTCTTCGTCATCGTCACTATTTTTTGATGGCTTTTTAGATGGTTCTTTGGTTTCGCCACCATTATCCCCAGAGGCCATGGAGGGCAGAGGTCCAATAATGTCCTCATCGTCGTCATCATCTTCATCACTGGCGGGTGGTGGTGCTGGAGCAACTTCCTTGGCTTTGGCAATTTGTTCCTATGAAAAAAAAAACTATTATAATTCATTCGGTTTGGGATTAAATATAAATCGAGAATTACGTTGATATCAAAAACTTTGGCCGTCTTCCTACCGAATCCGGTCAGACCCATGACTTCTTTTAGCCGCTGGGCCTCCAAGTCTTCAGTAACATCTTCAATTTGTTTGATCATCTGATTTTTATCGATTTTTTTGAAACCACCGCCATCACTTGGCCCGGCTTGCGGTTGGCTTTCATTTCCCGCAGCCGCAGGCGGCTTACTGAGATTCAAATTGATTTTTCCAAATGATATTTTACCCCTTTGCATGGTTGTTTAAAAATTCTTTATTTATTTGAGAAAAATCTTGTTATTTTCCAAAATTTACATTAGGCGCAAGTAAGAGAAATGGTAGGTACTGGCAATATCACGTTCCAAATGAAACAAACACGATGGCAAAACATAATGCCCGATAAAAAATAAAAGTAAAAGGGGGCTCTGTTGTTTACGAATGAGTATAAAGCATAACAACTCTATTGCTTACGAATGAGACGTGAGGACAACGCAAACAGCTGTATTATCGTCCATTAAAATCATTCACTTGATATGATCAAGTGAATTGATAACAGGGAACTTTGAGGCGAAGAAGAAGAACGAGAAACCATGGAGATTTACCTAAATAAAGGCGTTGGCGATTCCGATGATACTAAAGGTGATGATGCTTGACATCATAATATGGTATATAAATGACAAATTATAAAGGAAATGGACTAAAGGATTTGAGGTTCTTTGTTCCAAATGGCATCAACTTGATTGAATGGAGTATTCAGAGCAAACCAACAATTGGCTTATAGAATTAATGACTGGCTGCTTGAATATTCGAATTTTAGATAGATAAAATTTTTGATAGAAACAACTAGGGTTTATCTCCAACATTCCATCTTTAATATAATTTTATAGAATAACGCTGACATTCCATTCATGTCTTGGAATTTTCCTGAATTTTAAACTTCTTCTAGGGTTCTTTGAGATTAAACCAGCCACCAACCGTTGAAATCAAGATTTTATATATTGTTTACAACGGTGTCTGAGATTTGAACATAGTTAAATTTGATTTTAGTTAATGGAGGAGAGTATATTTATTTGGATTTTTTTGGACATTAATTACCTAGTCGATATAAAAATTTTCGGCCCAATAAATTATCTACATTCTTGATCAGGATGCCAGTCCATCCATAAATATGTTGTATAAAGTTCGTACGAGTTCCACCAGATATTTGATTTTTTTTGTAGACATCGCACCGCATATTATGCCTCAATTTTTATGTCCTCCACCATGGACGGTAATTAAATTTTGATATTCCGTTTATAAAACCTTTAAATATTCGTCGTATATATTCATGATCAGCATCAAATTCTAAGTCGATTTAACGATGTCCTGTTGAAAACGAGATACAGTCCACATTATAGTGTCCAGGATGGTTGGTATTGAAAAGTGCCACGTTTTCGCATAGCCCCAATACAAAGGTACCTTCCTATCCGAGTATCCGATTTGATCCAAACTTGGTACATCGTAATATAATTGCCAAACGTAGATTGAATTCGGAGATGGGCAATGTCGGTTCACTCCTTCTGGTACCTTCCACACAAAATATCAATATTTTTAAAGAAAATAATTTACTGCACAGAAAGAGAAAGGATAATCATATTTTGCTCCAACTTTGTATATCCTCATAACTGCATAAGTGCTAGGTTAGGGGCGAAAATAGACAATATCGGTCCCCTCAAATAGGTAATTCCCCCACAAAGGGTCAACATTTGGAATAATTATAACACTTATAAAATGTGATGTAAGTCCGATTGTCTTCAAATCACACACATTACAATATTTTTATTAACACAAGATCTGGTGTGAAGATGGGATATATCGGTCCACTTCTTCTGGTACCTCCCACACAAAGGGTCAACATTTTGAATATCCATGAAGCTCATAAAACGTGAAATTAACATCCGATTTCGTTCAGACTTGGTATATCTTAATATTTCCATCAACAAAAGATCTGTTATAGAGGAGGAATCGGATCATTTCTTTTAGTACCTCCCCCACATAGGATTCAAGATTTTGAAAAACCAAATGCTAAAAGCATAATAAGTATCCAACTCTATTCAAATTTCACACATACAAAACATTTTTGGTAACACAAGTTTTGTTGTAAAGATGATGTATATCTTCGAACCACTTCTGGTACCTCACCCACAACAAGGGTCAACATTTTCAATACTTTTGTCTATCATAAGAATCAAGTCAGTGATTCTTTACAAATTGATATGTCTAAATATTTCTCTTAACCAGAAATCTTATATAAATATGTAATTTATCGAAATTTAATTTTAAATTTTGCGCATACCAATATTTTTTATCTGTTTTGGTTTAAGCATGAAAATGGAATACCTCGGTCCGCTATATCTGTTACCTCACGCATATTTCCACTTTTTAGCAAAAAATTGCACATAACTTATATTAAGTACAGGAAACAGTCGATATAGACAAAATCTGTCATGTTGCAAATATTTATATCAGTCTTTGGTCAGGTACGAATTGGTCAATATTGGCCAACTGCTTCGGAACCTCCTCCATAAAGAGTCAACAGTTTGAATAATTATAAGTCATGGCTGGGAGCATATATCTGTCGGCAAAACCAACTGATACTATTTGACTTGTTTTTCTTGTGATTTAACTCGAAAAAGGACAATTAAAAATTTATTTAAAATTCTGTTTATTCGTATTCGTATGCAGAAGTAGACCATATATCCCACTCGAACATCGAATATAGACATATTTTCAAATTTGTATATCCTTTTCTAAAGATGGGCATCAAAAACATAAACCTGATCGAATTAAACAATAGAATTGAAACAACTAATAATTTATTTTTGTTCAATTTTTATTGCAATTATTTTTCTAAACTTTCACAGACTATTAAAATAAACTTAAGCTAATGTAAAAACATGTACATACATATAAAATAAATTGGAATTAAAAATGATCACAATACATTACAATTAAAACTTATATGACACAATGTTTAATATACTTATATACAGTAAAAGTTTGTTACATTAACAAATATATATTTGTGGTAACAGATCATAAAGACGGCTAAAATTTTTTAAAACAACAACCGTTTACACGATTATTAATATAAAGTACTATAACAACACTAAACAAGTTTTGTGATTTAAATGCAAAAATGAATGAGGGAAATATATTTTTTCTCAAATATTTAAAAGGCTCATAAAGAAGAAACACGATGAATCTGCTACTATAGGCGGCTTGTTTGCAAAATGTTATGAAAATCTTGTTCAATAAGATTTTTGGGTGTGTTTTGTACCCCTTTATTGCCCAGAGGGTTAGCTTCATTGTGTTTCAGCTTAAGCAAATGTTAACGACGTTTTCAATTCAATTCTGAAAAATGTAAAAACCTCGTAAGACAGAAACACAACGCTGCTGGCGGTTAAGGGAAACCTTGTTTAAATAAATTTGTGAATGTGTTTTGTTCCCGTATACCGCTTAGAGGATAAGCTTCATTGTGTTACTGCTTAAGGAGGGCTGCCAATGTAAACGATATTCATGACGTTAACATAACATAATTTCGATCTCAACTTAGTTTTGATATTTTCATTATTAACTAGACTCCATTGGGCTATGTTTGAATCGAAACATCAACAAATGTGTGTTTTAATTGCTGATGAGAGAAGAGTTCATTTTGCAGTCATAAATATCACTTGACATTCGACTTCCTCGATTACAATAATGGGACATTTATTCTAATATCCTTTCTATACATAAAAAGTCCTACTAAAATTTACGTAACTAAGTAGTGTTTTGGATTGCACATAATCTTTACGAGATTATTTCGGAAATTTCCCCAAATTTATAAATGGCCTCGGGGTGTGAAAAAGTAGCGAAGTAGGCGAGGTTTTTTATGGTTTATTTACACAAATGGGAATCAGAAGATTTTATTCCCTACTCTTTCAAGCATCTTCTCACGCCTTATTAATTTCTTCCTGATCCTTGGTGGGTACCATTTTATAAGTTTTATCTCTCTTAAACCATAGCCAATTGTTTTCATTGAAATAATCTTCAATTTGTTCCAATGTACGTCCCTTGGTTTCGGGTTGGAATAGGTACATGAATACTGACACCAAAATACTGGCCACGCCGAATATTATGAACACTCCCTTCATGCTAATATTCATATGAATCATTGGGAACATTTTCGTAAAGCCAAAGAGGGCCACATTCATGGCAGCAAAGACAGCTCCCGCAGTACGTCCTCTAATCTTTGCTGGAAACAGCTCACCAATCATAATGCCCGGCATAACCATCAACGAAGTGTTGAAAGCAATGTATGCCATTAAACATACACCGGCCACAATAACATCGGCTCCACCCTTTGGTTGTCCCTCGCGGGCAAACATATAACCACTTAAAACCAAACAGCTTAGACCCGAGCCAATACCCGACAATATCAAAATCAATCTTCTTCTGATAAATAATAAAATAATACAAAATATTAGGGTACAACACATTCTTATGACTGCCGTCCATATGGCGGCCTCTTTGGGATCAAAACCGGCTCCAAATTCCGAAATGATATCAATTGCATAGAAGACCACAATAAAGGTACCCGAAGCAATTTGTAGGAATGAAAATATAATAACAATCACCAATGGTTTGATGGCAACCCGCTGGCAGCATAGCTGGAATATGTTCTCATTGGTCTTGGTGGTGGCCTTCTCCTTTTCCAATCTTTCGGCCATGACATTCATTTCCTTTTGGGCCATTATATCGTTGCCACGTAAAAATGTCAATGCCTTACGGGCTCTCTCCAGCTTTTTATGTCGCAGTAACCAGGCAGGACTTTCGGGTATGAAGAAAATGGCTAAGGCTGCCAGAGCTGGTAATACATTTCCACACCAAGCCACGGCTCTCCAATGCAGCGCCGAACCCAAGGCATAAACGATGAGAATACCCAGGGAATAGGAAACAAAGGGGGCACCAATTAACAGGCCACGAAGATTTGGTTCGGCCGTTTCGGCAATATAGACCTGAAATGAGAAAGAGGAGAAAAATGGTTAATACTGAAGCACTTCAATTCGATACTGACTGGTTGCAGAGGAGGTTTCCATTGGAAAACTTTAATTCAACCCGGCCGAATAAAAACTTAAATTAACTTAATTAATGGGAGTTTCAAAAGAAAGCTGCAATTCACTCGGGAATAATAACCCCATAAAAAACTTTAATTCAGCCAGGCCTGGTCAAAAGAAGGTTGTTATGAAAAAAAATTAAATTCAACCTGGTTGGATGGTATTTTCCAAGGAAACACTTAAATTAAGTCCTGCTGAACGGGGATTTCAATGGCAAGATTATAATTCACAGGGGTTTAATAATACCTTAAGAAAACTTCAATTAATCCAGGCTGAATTCTGCCTGGTTTAACAGAAGGTTGCCATAGAAAAACTACAATTCAACCCCGCTGAATTATGTTTTCCATGGGAAATCAAATTAAGCTCGGCTGAATGGGGATTTCAAAAATCTGCAATTCATCCAGGCTTAATAACTTTATAAAAAACGTCAATTCGACCAGTTTGAATAGGGGGAGAGGAGAAAATGTATTAACTTTGAACCACAGCAATTCAATTCTTCCTGGTTTAATAGAAGGTTGCCATAGGAAAACTACAATTCAACCTCGCTGAATTATGTTTACCATGGGAAATCAAATTAATGGGGATTTCAAAAATCTGTTCAATTTATATTAACTTTATAAAAACATCAATTGAGCCAGGCTGAATAGGAATGAATACCACTTTATTTTTAAAATTAATTTCCTACAGAAATTTGTCAATCCTGTGAGTCTGAAATTGATTTTCCAATAAAAAACTCTACAGAAATTTGTCAATCCTGTAAGTCCGAAATTGAATCTCCAACAGAAAACTTTCCCTTTCCTTTTAAAACAATAAAAACTAATCCATTTTATATTTCAGTGTATCTCCCTGGTCACGTCGTTCCATTTCTAGAAATCAGTTTCAATTGACACGCTCTTCTCTTTTTTTAGAAAAAATGTGGGTCATTCACTTCAACGTAGCATGTACGTATGTTTGTATGTATGTCGTGGGTCGGAAACATGTGTCGGGTGGGGTGAGGTGGCTTGTGTTTGTACTACTGACCTGCTAAACTATTTTGTCCATTTAATTTTTGCTAAATTTAATAGTTATATTATGATGGCCTTGAACTTTTAAGATTCAGGTTCAAGAATATCGCCCAGTTGGCATTTGATTTGCGAAAACAAAATACAAATGACGTTTTCTGTCTTGTTCTCAGCAAGCTAGCTATTCATCATAGATAGACATAATAAGAAAAGGAATCTATGGAACTTCCGACAATAGACCCATCTATCATGTTTTTTCATTGTTATTATTGTGCGTTCAGCCACAGCCACAATAATAGCCGTGGCGGTGGTGGTGTCCGGCTAGGCGGTTCTTATTGTAGAATTAATAGAGCAAATATAAACAAATCCACTTATTTTTCATCGTGGATCACAAAAGTGTTTATCTTCCACTACGGCAAGCTAAAAATCTGATGATGAATATGTCCATGACTTTTCCAGCAAGATGTTTATTTTTTTCTTCTATTTTCTTTCTAATGTGGCTGGCATGCAATTGTGACTGCCTGCCTGCCTGGCTTTTGACATGTGCGCTCTGGCCAGGCAGTGGTGGGAATTTTTTATGCTAATGCACCATCACCAGACATTTTTTCTTAGGGACAATGGAGATTTCCGAGTTGGTGGCATGTAAAGGGGTGGGTGTCTGTGTGTAATTGGTGACAGCTATGCAAAATAGTTCCGCATATGTGTAAGGTTACTAAAAAAATACTATGTGGTGGCGTCTTGATTGTGGGCACACTTAAATGAAATGAAAACTGTATAAAAAAATGAGCAACCAAATCTGGGCTTGGCTTTCATTTAATCTTTTTTAAATCATCATATAACCCTGACTGGACATTTGGCGTAATTATTTTGTTTTCGTTTTCATTTGGCATTAGATTTATAAAGAAAAAGTTCTACACACCTGAGCGGGTCCACCCAAAATACCGGTGGCAAAGCCACACAATAGACGTCCTATCAACAGCATGGGATAGGACTGTGACAAGGCCAAAACACTCCAGCCCACAAATATTGGTATCACCGACACCAATAGCGTGGAACGTCGTCCAATGTAATCGGCCATGGGTCCAGAGATAAATGAACCCACCGGGGTTGCCAAACTGTGTACACTGGCTGTAAGGAAATTAAAAAGGAATTTTTTTTAAATTATTAAAACATTAAATTTGTGGTGTGCCAACTTACCAATCCATGAACCCATTTCAATGTCTATCACAATTTCTGGTGTGGAATTTGTGGTGGCACTTCCTCCCACCGTTAGCTGAGGTAATAATACTGCTGAATAACCAATGGGCATACCGCAAGCGGCTGATAACACCAGTACGGCACATGTGGAAATAATCTGAAAATGAAGAAAAATTAGGTATAAGTTTCGCGGTAAAGAAGTGAATAAAAGAATAAAATGAAGTCCTGGTTACCATTCATGTCATTTTTTAATACAAAAGGGATATTCTTGTTAAAGATATTTGTTGTTACTGTAAATTTGGTGGAGGCTATACAAATGTTGATAGATCGACATTATATACCTAAAACGGATTTCGTCCAAACGCACATTGTTTTAACCCTTGATTGTGGTGCGATATGTCATCCATATGGTTGTACGTATAAAGAAACGTTGAACTAAACTATTAAATTTTTATACCCTCCACCATAGTATGGAGGGTATATCAAGTTTTTCATTCCGTTTATAACACCTCGAAATATACATTTTAGACCCCACAAAGTATATATATTCTTGATCAGCATAAAGTTCTATTTCGATTTAGCGATGTCCTTCCGTCTGTGGAAATCACTCTAGCTTCCGAACGAAATGAAGTAGATTGATTGATTGATTTTACTCAAATGTATATTATGTCTGCAGGACTTTTGATATTGAACATGGGCCATGTAAGTCCACGTCTTCGTGTAGCCCCCATATAACGGTACTTCCCAATATTCGGTATTTTGATGATTTTTGCGACAATATTCATCGAAATTGTTTCAAATTTGGTATTTGAAGTTCGTAATAGATATATACAGCCTATGACAGAAAATTGTTTGTGCAGGTCGACGTCTTCGTGTAGCCCCCATATAACGGTACTTCCCGATATTCGGTATTTTGATGATTTTAGCGATGGTATTCACAGGAATTGTTTCAAATTTGGTACTGGAAGTTCGTAATGGATATTACAGCCTATGACAGAAAATTGTCTGTGCGGGTCCACGTTTTCTTGTAGCCCCCATATAACGCTACCTCCCAATATTTGGTATTTTGATGATTTTAGCGATGTTATTCACCGAATTTGTTTTAAGTGTGGTATTTGAAGTTCGTAATAGATACTACAGTCTAGGACAAAAAATTGTTTGTGCAGGTCCACGTCTTCGTATAGCCCCCATTTAACGGCACCTGCTGATATTCGCTATTTTCATCATTTGAGCGACATTATTCACCGGAATTGTTTCAAATTTGGTATTTGAAGTTCTTAATAGATACTGCAGCCTATGGCAGAAAATTGTTTGTGCAGGTCCACATTTTGCAGGTCGACGTCTTCGTGTAGCCCTCATTTAATGGTACCTCCCGATGTTCGGTATTTTTATGATTTTGGCGACATTATTCACCAGAATTGTTTCAAATTTGGTATTTAAAGTTCATAATGAATACTGCAGCCTAAGACACAAAATTGTCTGCGCAGGTCCACGTCTTCGTATAGCCCTCATATAATGGTACCTCCCTATATTCGGTATTTTGATGCTTTATTCACCGAATTGTTTTTAGGTCTCGCATTTGAATATTGTAAAGGCTTATGGCTTAGAACCTAATATAACGGCTACATTATGTACTTTGCAGATTTTAAAAGAATTTTAATTTTTTTGAAAATTGCCAAATTCGTTCCAAATGGTGAAGGGTATTCAAAGTTTGGCCCGGCCGAACTTACAGTTTTTTACTTGTTTTTTTTTTTTTTTTAATTTCAAGTTTCTTTAAAATGGTACAGGGTATTAAAAATTCGGCCCGGTGAGACACTTTTTGACGGTATGTTATCCGTATGGCTGATGATAATAAAAAACGTTCCACTAAAATATTCAATTGTTGTTCATTCGCACTCCCATTTGTTTGTGCTGTGATTTCATTACTTATAGGCAATTTCACATTATTAATATCATGGCCATAGTACTGATGACCTACTTTTCGTAAATTTCACTATAAAAACATTCTCATAATTAATAATATTGCCCACAAATAAAGAGTACAACCAAAATATGAGGTAAGTTTGCAAAATCTGGAAAATTTATTAGGAATCGCATCCGATTTTATTCGTTTTAACAATATACCTCGTATATTGTCTTTAAGTGTTGATAAAGTTCATTGTGATGCGAAAAAATGATGATTATGATGTTTATTCTCATTATCATCATTATATACTGTTTTATGTCATTTTGTTTGACTATCATTTAAATCTGTCACTTTTGTTGTATATGTAAGTGATATAGAGACAAGTTACATATTATACATTCGTTTGTGTGTTAATACCCTTTTATATACAGTTAAACAGGGTTATAACGAACACTTTATATCTCCTGTTTCCACTTTTTACAAAAATGTTTAGAGTATCTCATCCTCATGGAGAAATTCACAATATAAGCATGGTATGTACTTTAACTGGTCATGCTTCAGAAAAGGAACTATGACAATTTAACAATCAAAGGAAAGTGTGTGTGCATTTCACTAAGAATTCCAATTTACATTCCAAACTGATGTCTACAGCTATCAATGTTCTCCTCCATAGCCATATATGACTGTTCACCACACGATGTACGCTTTGCCAGAATAAATGAATGTATGAACATTTAATTGATTTGTTACTTCATTCGAATTCATTTAAAAATATTTGTGGTTTCACTTTCGATGGGGGGCACGCAATCGATATCGTTACATGGTGGTAAATTAAAATTTCATAAACAAGTCATTAAATCAATTAGAGGCAAGCAATTATGTAGTAATATGAAAACGTATGAACAAAATGAACTGTTTGAGGCTAAATCGAATACATTTGTCATTATGGATTTTCAGTGAAAGACTTTGTATAGACGTTTTTTCTATAGATCTTATGATATTTTATGGACAAAAGAATTTATGTAGGTCTTCAATGGATGTTCTGGAATAGAAGACTTCATGGGGGAATTCTGAAGATCTTCTATTGAGATAAGAAAATATAGATCTATTTGTAGCACTTCCTTACACAAATCCTTTTTAACGGGTTATGTATTCATGGAAAATTGTCTATATCAAGAGGACTTATTTTGTTAAACTGATAGAATATCATTTTATATCAAGGAACCTTTCTTTAAGAAAGTATTATGCCTAATTCGTTTATTCTCAAGCTCAATAAAATTGAACATATTTGACAGGTATATAAAAAGGAACCCGGTGCGCTTCGCTACCCCTTTTGAAAATATATATGGGAACTATAACTAAATCTGAACCGATTTCAAAATAATTTGACAAATTTATTTTCTGATCAAATCCCGTCACACATTCCAAATTTCATTGGAATCAAACATGCATATCGTGTTTGGTGCATCAAATAAACGAAATCGGACGAAAATATATATGGGAGCTATAGAACAGTGTTGGCTTGTTTGTTCGGGATACCATAGTATTTTGTTGTTGCAAAATGGTCAGGCTTAATCCCTTTATTGTTTTTTTAAAGCTATATCCATGTTCATTTTAAAATCCGTTACACATTCCTAATTTCATTGAAATTAGAGATACATAGCGGGTTTGGTGCATCAAATACAAATATATCCAAATCTGTACCGATTTCAATATAATTTAGCAAATTTATTTTTGTTCCGAATTCCGTTACGCATTTCAATTTTGGAGACTGTATCTGTAATCAATCAATAGATATGTGCATATAAAATCTAAATTTTTGGAAGATACCTTCGATTATGATGCTATATCTCCAGTTCCAAGTGGAATTTCAAAAATGTATATAGCCTATGTTACTTTCATGCGATGTTGTAGTATACTTGGAAATTTCCGCTGTGCAGCGGTTTCGAGTCTATAAATTAAAAATAAACAAACATTTTCCTCTTTTATAGATATAGATATGTGATAATTTTATAAAAATCGCTGACTTGTATCGAAAGTTATGACAGATAATAGAATTGAAAATGGTGACCCTTTGTAAGTGAGTTATCAGAAAGGGTTCGCAGTTATATATAAACTTCACAAAAAATGTTTGTATGTTTGAAATTTGAAGAGAGTTGAATGCTTATTTCGCTTTTTTGAGCGATTTGATTATCAAAATTTTGAATCCTATGTGGGGGACGTACAAGATCTTGTGATGACAGAAATATTGAGATGTGCCAACTCCGAATGGAATTGGATGTTAATTTCGCGATTTATGAGCTTAACTGATATTCAAAATTTTGACCCTTTGTGGGGGAGATAGCAGAAGTAGTGGACCGATTTATCCCATTTTTACACCAGATCTTGGGTTAATGAAAATATTGTGATATTTGTAATTTGAATCGGTCTCTTACACTACATTTTAAAAGAGTATAATTATTCTGATTTACTGATATTTTTTATTTTCGCACCTGACCTAGCACTAATGCAAATTTTAGGATTTGCAAAGTTAGAGCAAAATCGGATCATCCTTTCTCTTTATGTGTAGTAAAATATTTTCTCAGAAAATGTCGACCTTTTTGGGGAAGGTACTAGAAGGAGTGGGCCAATATTGTCCATCTCCGAACTCGATCTAAGTTTGACAATAATATTACGATGTCTCAAGTTTGGACCCAAATAGGATACTCCCCTCGAGAGTTATAGTGCGCAGCCACACAGACGGACACGCGTGCGGACACCGCTAGATCGACTCCAAATGCCCTGAAACGGATTTGGTCTAAAGAGACCTAGGATCTAAACCCGTTTTTTCGATGAGACACGTTTTGGCCGTATCAAAGGATGTACACCCTCTCTAGCCATCTGGCTGAGGGTATAAAAATGTAATCAGCTGATAGCTCTGCAATACTAGGTGCGTCTGGTTACCCTAAACTTTGTAACAATCTGTTATCACAAAATATTTGCAAAAGAGTGTGATTTCGGAAAAAATTTCAGTGAGGGTTTGCAAATTCTTGCTGGACAATTTTCTTCTTACAATCACTTGGAACTCTTCTTCTTCTCCTTCCAGTGATTTATATTCGTACAAGCAATTTAAAAACATCTTTATTTTGGAAATCGCAAGCGTAATTGTTTGTAACCAGACACACCTAATTTTTTTGTACATGGATTTAGCTATTATTAAAATATTTCGAAATCGAATATTTTTCATGGTCATCGATTCTGTCATTTTTCAAATAAAAGTTCATTTAAATAAAATTAACTGATTGGCGTTCCATTGTATATAAAACTGTTATTTATTCCATATTTGACGAATAAACATTTTATCAATCTTTTCCAGTCTTTAACATTTAAAAAAACTAGATTTTTATAGAATAAATCATCTTTTCTTAGCGAAATTATACTCAAAGATAACTGACATGATATTAGAAGCTAATATAAATTTATTTTTACATTTAGTTACAAAAATTTATAATTTGAGTATAAATATAAATAATACCGACTACTGGGACATGCCGAACATAGACGTACTTTTAATTTTTATACTTTCTTATTGATTCAGTTCAAATTGTAGATATAAGTAGTAACTGTATTGTCGCAATTATGTCTCTAAGACATGAAGCTATAGCTAAGAAAAAATTTTGTTAATTTTTAATCACAAAGACAAAAGAATTTATGTAGGTCTTCAATGGATGTTCTGGAATAGAAGACTTCATGGGGGAATTCTGAAGATCTTCTATTGAGATAAGAAAATATAGATCTATTTGTAGCACTTCCTTACACAAATCCTTTTTAACGGGTTATGTATTCATGGAAAATTGTCTATATCAAGAGGACTTATTTTGTTAAACTGATAGAATATCATTTTATATCAAGGAACCTTTCTTTAAGAAAGTATTATGCCTAATTCGTTTATTCTCAAGCTCAATAAAATTGAACATATTTGACAGGTATATAAAAAGGAACCCGGTGCGCTTCGCTACCCCTTTTGAAAATATATATGGGAACTATAACTAAATCTGAACCGATTTCAAAATAATTTGACAAATTTATTTTCTGATCAAATCCCGTCACACATTCCAAATTTCATTGGAATCAAACATGCATATCGTGTTTGGTGCATCAAATAAACGAAATCGGACGAAAATATATATGGGAGCTATAGAACAGTGTTGGCTTGTTTGTTCGGGATACCATAGTATTTTGTTGTTGCAAAATGGTCAGGCTTAATCCCTTTATTGTTTTTTTAAAGCTATATCCATGTTCATTTTAAAATCCGTTACACATTCCTAATTTCATTGAAATTAGAGATACATAGCGGGTTTGGTGCATCAAATACAAATATATCCAAATCTGTACCGATTTCAATATAATTTAGCAAATTTATTTTTGTTCCGAATTCCGTTACGCATTTCAATTTTGGAGACTGTATCTGTAATCAATCAATAGATATGTGCATATAAAATCTAAATTTTTGGAAGATACCTTCGATTATGATGCTATATCTCCAGTTCCAAGTGGAATTTCAAAAATGTATATAGCCTATGTTACTTTCATGCGATGTTGTAGTATACTTGGAAATTTCCGCTGTGCAGCGGTTTCGAGTCTATAAATTAAAAATAAACAAACATTTTCCTCTTTTATAGATATAGATATGTGATAATTTTATAAAAATCGCTGACTTGTATCGAAAGTTATGACAGATAATAGAATTGAAAATGGTGACCCTTTGTAAGTGAGTTATCAGAAAGGGTTCGCAGTTATATATAAACTTCACAAAAAATGTTTGTATGTTTGAAATTTGAAGAGAGTTGAATGCTTATTTCGCTTTTTTGAGCGATTTGATTATCAAAATTTTGAATCCTATGTGGGGGACGTACAAGATCTTGTGATGACAGAAATATTGAGATGTGCCAACTCCGAATGGAATTGGATGTTAATTTCGCGATTTATGAGCTTAACTGATATTCAAAATTTTGACCCTTTGTGGGGGAGATAGCAGAAGTAGTGGACCGATTTATCCCATTTTTACACCAGATCTTGGGTTAATGAAAATATTGTGATATTTGTAATTTGAATCGGTCTCTTACACTACATTTTAAAAGAGTATAATTATTCTGATTTACTGATATTTTTTATTTTCGCACCTGACCTAGCACTAATGCAAATTTTAGGATTTGCAAAGTTAGAGCAAAATCGGATCATCCTTTCTCTTTATGTGTAGTAAAATATTTTCTCAGAAAATGTCGACCTTTTTGGGGAAGGTACTAGAAGGAGTGGGCCAATATTGTCCATCTCCGAACTCGATCTAAGTTTGACAATAATATTACGATGTCTCAAGTTTGGACCCAAATAGGATACTCCCCTCGAGAGTTATAGTGCGCAGCCACACAGACGGACACGCGTGCGGACACCGCTAGATCGACTCCAAATGCCCTGAAACGGATTTGGTCTAAAGAGACCTAGGATCTAAACCCGTTTTTTCGATGAGACACGTTTTGGCCGTATCAAAGGATGTACACCCTCTCTAGCCATCTGGCTGAGGGTATAAAAATGTAATCAGCTGATAGCTCTGCAATACTAGGTGCGTCTGGTTACCCTAAACTTTGTAACAATCTGTTATCACAAAATATTTGCAAAAGAGTGTGATTTCGGAAAAAATTTCAGTGAGGGTTTGCAAATTCTTGCTGGACAATTTTCTTCTTACAATCACTTGGAACTCTTCTTCTTCTCCTTCCAGTGATTTATATTCGTACAAGCAATTTAAAAACATCTTTATTTTGGAAATCGCAAGCGTAATTGTTTGTAACCAGACACACCTAATTTTTTTGTACATGGATTTAGCTATTATTAAAATATTTCGAAATCGAATATTTTTCATGGTCATCGATTCTGTCATTTTTCAAATAAAAGTTCATTTAAATAAAATTAACTGATTGGCGTTCCATTGTATATAAAACTGTTATTTATTCCATATTTGACGAATAAACATTTTATCAATCTTTTCCAGTCTTTAACATTTAAAAAAACTAGATTTTTATAGAATAAATCATCTTTTCTTAGCGAAATTATACTCAAAGATAACTGACATGATATTAGAAGCTAATATAAATTTATTTTTACATTTAGTTACAAAAATTTATAATTTGAGTATAAATATAAATAATACCGACTACTGGGACATGCCGAACATAGACGTACTTTTAATTTTTATACTTTCTTATTGATTCAGTTCAAATTGTAGATATAAGTAGTAACTGTATTGTCGCAATTATGTCTCTAAGACATGAAGCTATAGCTAAGAAAAAATTTTGTTAATTTTTAATCAGCCTGTTTTCTTTTTAACTTGGCAAAAATTTGCCGAATTCCCCTACATGTTTATCGTTTGAATGTTTGGCCGGCCGGCATTTGTGAGCATTATTTATATCGAGATTTTACCACTTCAAGTCTACACCAAATAAATATTATTTTTGTAATCATTGGCAACACTGTTGTTAATAGCACATTAAAAGAGAAAATGTCGCTAAAAGAGAATCATAACAAAACGTTTGCTCTTTTGGTTCAATTCTCTCTGTTGTGCTCAAAGAATGGAATAGCAGAAGGGGGAAATACATTTTTAATATCGTTGTATGTGTGTATGCCGTCTCTTGTTATTAATCATTTGGCTTCATTCATCGTATATCCCATATGGTCTAGTGGCTAGGATATCTGGCTTTCACCCAGAAGGCCCGGGTTCGATTCCCGGTATGGGAAATTTTTTTTATAGTTTTTTTTTTCATTAATGATTTTTTTTTAATTTTTAAAGAATGTACTTTTTACGATTTCTACTGCAAACATTTGCTTTTACCCTAACCTATGCTAATTTAACACTTGCACTTGTCCCCTAATTGATATTTTGGTTTTATATTCTTTTGTTTACATTTCACCTTCAGTTTGCCAAATTAGCAAAAATTTGAAATCGTATTAATTTTGGCAATGCCATTGTTAAATCGCTGTTGTTTTGAAATCTAATTTCTTTTAGCGTTTTTTGTTGTTTTTTTTTTTTTTGGTATTACAACAAATAAGCCGTATTGCTCTGCTTTTTTATCTATTATAGGAAACAAGTGTTGTCCAATTTGTACTCTACCCACCTGGTGGTAAATACCCCGTTTAATTGTTTTGTGGTCGTGTTCATTGTCGCACTGCTTTTGCCGATAGATATCCGTTGTCTCGATGCCATTGTTGTTGTTATTGTTGCCGTTTGCTGTCGGTACGATTTGATAATTGAATTTTGTCGTCGGCATTATTTTGCTGTATTCATCTTCCCTATAAAAGAAAAGAAAAAAAAAAACAAGACCAAACAAATGCACAATTAGTTAAGACAGTTCTATTGCGAATTTATAAAGTATGTAAATATTTGATTAGTTAGAAACAATAATTATAGGCACATGTGGGTGAGGAGGTTATGCAATGCGGGTGAGGAGGTTACTACTACCGCATGGGGTGGATCTAAAAATTTGTAGAATATGAGAAACATGAAAGTGCGTTATAAGTTATAACTCCGAGATTTTTCTTTCTTTATTAAGAAGCAATTTGTTTTGCAGGGCAATATCTGTTTCTAATTAGAAAAATAGTATGGAAGTTCACAAATATTAGATCCCTTTTGAAAACTCCTGTTTGATACTATAATATCTCTAACAATCTAACTTAAACTTGAAGGAGGAATGAACTTATGTATTCCAGACCCGATTCCCAGAGATTAGAAAGAAAGTAATTGGCCTATATAATATCTATTGATCTTCCACTAAAAAATCAGAGAGAGTACCTGTTGGTTTTCTAAGAGAAAACCTTGTGTATATAAGGCTAGCTTACACATCATGTCTTTCATATTTAGCATTTTTACAGCATACTTTTAGTCAACTTATAAAATAATTCTTTATAGTTGAAACAAGTTAATAAGTAACAGTCGGTATTACCGGCAGATGTATACCTTCAGCCAATGTTTGATTATTAAAATATATTTTGACTTCTGTTATAATTACTGAAATTGTTGACCCTCTATGGAGTAGGTTTCCTTGGAATGGGCCAATATTGTCCATTTCGTAGCGGATCTAAATAAATATTATATAAATATTGCGACGTGCCAGGTTTGGACTATACTGGTCAATTCGTTGACTTGATATGAGATAATTTTTAGAAAATGTGCGTGACGTGCCAGATATAGTCGACCGAAGTATTCCATTTTCATACTTCATCTAATACACATAAAAATATTGGCATGAGCAGAATTACAAGAAAATCGAACATTTATATCCAATTTTATGCGAAATCGTACATTCAATACTTATCTCAGGTTTCTAGTTGAGAGAAATATTTAGATATAGCAAGTTGAAAATCATTGCTGACTTGTTATGACATATAAAAGTATTAAAAATGTTGACCCTTTTGTAGAAGAGGTACCGGAAGGGGTTCGCAGACATACACCATCTTCATGTGTGAAATTTTAAGAGAGTTGGAAGTTATTTTCGCTTTCTTTGAGCGTTTTTTTTTTTCAAAACCTTGAAACCTGTATCATACCCTGTACCGGAAGTATCATAAGAAATAGTCCGATCTCTACCATATTTAACAGATTTTGTACTAATGGAAATATTGAGATGTGCTATGCCTGAATTGAATTGGATATTATTTTCGCGTTTAGTGGTTTCATAGGTATTGAAAATGTTGGCCCTTTGTGACCCTGTTCTCTACCAACTTCTTAGCAAATCTTGTATTAGTAGAAAAAATGGGATGTGTGAAATATGTAGAGAACCCGATGCTTATTTCGTATTTTATAATCGTTTTGATTCTTCAACATTTTAAACATTTGTGGGGGAGGTACCAGAAGAAATGGTCCGATCTCTACCATCTTTATAAAAGATCTTGTGTTAATAGAAAAATTGAGATGTGCTGAGTCTGAATGGAATAGGATGTTAATTTCGCGTTTTATGGACTTCATGAATAATCAAAATTTTGACCCTTTGTGGGACAGGAACTAGAAGCAGTGGATCGATAAAATCCATCTTCACACCAGACCTTGGGTTAATAAAAATATTGTGATGTGTGTAATTTGAAGACAATTAGACTCACATTGCTTGAGAGTTAAAAATGTTAAAAATTTTGACCTTTTGTCGGGGAGTTACTTGATGAGATGGACCGATATTTTCTATTTTCGCACATAACCTAGCACTGATGCAAATATTAGGATTTGCAAAGTTAGAGAAAAATCAGATTATCCTTTTCTTTCTGTGCAGTATATATATATATATATATATATATATATATATATATATATATATATATATATATATATATATATATATTTAATTCGACTTCTGTGGGAGAAGTACCAGAAGGAGTGGACGTTTATTTCCCTTCTCCGAATTGTTGCCACAAAACATGCAAGTAGTGCTAGGTTGGTGTTCCGTAGGCGAATACAACCTTCAATACTAAAATGCGCAATATATTTCCTAGGATATAAAATATTTTATCTCACCATAATCTTTTTAAGACAGAACTTCTTATAACTTTGTTTTTGTATTGTGTCAGTAGTTATAAATTACGTATATATATTTTTTTGATATTAGACACAGGAGTCAATTAGGTGTCACATCAGATAATATGAGATTTGATAACTATTTTGCATTTAGGTTTTGTTATCATTTTCAGTGAAAAACTATAGGCTTTATTCAGAATAATATAGGCAACAAAATTTCCAAGGAATCTTTAAAGAAAGTTTTAGTATGGGAGATAATAATTTGATTGCTTGTGGGAGAATATTTGATCCCTATAAAAATATCAACAGCCATCTTAACTTGAAAACCGGGAGAGATGTTGTTACATTTCTCCCATGTTGCAAAGTATATAATGTTGGGCGCCACATGAAATTGTGGTTTAATTTGTATGGAAAGGTACGAAAAAAATATTTAATATTTAAACAATGTTGCCAAATATGTATATAGGTATGGTTATGTATAGTATAGGTCCATATATGTACAGAGTGAGATAAAAAAATTCAGCAAAGTCAATCGCCATAATTTTTACTTTTTTCTTTCAATTTTTTTGCATCAATGCAAAAAATGTCGGAAATAGCATAACATTTTAGAATAAGTTTCGATTTGTTCGAATTAGTTAACTTTGGCAGGAATTAAGGCCTTCAAACGGCCAATGAAACCGTCACATGCTGCCCGAATGTTGCTCTGCAGTATATTGGGCCATTCCCGTCGAAGCGCTTTCTTGAGGTGATCGATACTTTGGTATTTTTTAGTACCAACCTTGCTTTCCAAAGTACTCCAGATACAATAGTCCCACGGATTGGTATCCGGAGATTTTGGTGGCCATTGTGCACTGGAAATGAAGCGAGTAACCTCATTTTGTAACCATCCTTGGGTGGCGCGTGCTGAGTGCGATGGTGCTGAGTACTGTTAGAATGTCCAAGGTAATGTTCACGATAATATTCGGCATTTATTCTGATGCCACGGTGGATTAATACGAGCGGAGAGCGACCAACGGGGGTTATGGCGGCCCACACCATCACCATGGCCGGCGCTTGAGTTCTGGTGGCCAATCGAAGGTGTACATTTTCAGTTGACCTCCTTGTCAAGTAAACACGATCATTTTGTTTGTTTACAAACTCTTTAGCTCTTTTGAGACTATTTTCTTTCTATTGCGGCATAAGTTCTTGCACTTTTTTATACCCTCCACCATACTATGGAGGGTATATTAATTTGGTCATTCCGTTTGTAACTCCTCGAAATATTCATGTCAGACCCAACAAAGTATATATATTCTTGATCAGCGTAAAATTCTAAGACGATTTAGCCATGTCCGTCTGTCTGTCTGTGTGTCTGTCTGTCTGTTGTAATCACGCTATCTTTCGAACAAATTGAGATAGAAGGCTAAAATTTTGCACACATGTATATTTTCTCAGTAGGCAGGTTAAGTTCGTAAATGGGCCATGTAGGTCCAAGTTATCATATAGCCCCCATATAACGGTACCTCCCGATATTCGGTATTTTGATGATTTTAGCGACATTATTCACCGGAATTATTTCAAATTTGGTATTTGAAGTTCGTAATGGATACTACAGCCTAAGACAGAAAATTATCTGTGCAGGTCCACGTCTTCATATGGCCCCCATATAACGGTACCTCCCGATATTCGGTATTTTGATGATTTTAGCGACATTGTTTACCGGAATCGTTTCAAATTTGGTATTTGAAGTTCGTAATGGATACTTCATCCAAAGTCAAAAAATGAGCCATGTAGATCCACGTCTTCATATAGCACCCATATAACGGTACCCCCCGATATTCGGTATTTTAACGATTTTAGCGACATTATTTACAGGGATTCTTTCAAATTTCGCATGTGAAGTTCGTAATGGATACTTCAGCCCATACCAGAAAATTGTCTGTGCAGGTCCACGTCTTCGTATAGCCCCCATATAACGGTACCCCCATATTCGGTATTTTGACGATTTTAGCTACATTATAAACAGATTTTTCTTCAAGTTTCGCATTTAAATATTGTAATAATTTATGACAAAAGTTGCCTATGCAGGCCCACGTCGTCGTATAAGCATTCGGTACTTTTAAGATTTTAACAGAATTTTTAACGGTTTTTTTTTTTTGGAAATTGCCAAATTTGTACCAAATGGTGGAGGGTATTAAAAGTTCGGCCCGGCCGAACTTACAGCTTTTTTACTTGTTGAATTTTTGGCTTTACCCCGATCTCATTTTTCAATATTTGCCGAATGGAATATTGCGATATGTTCAGCGATGGTACGAGACATCACGCTTGAATTCAATCACGAATAACTTTTTTTCTGGAAAATTCTCACCAAAATGCTTTTGTACACTTATAAACAATAGAATGAGCTGTCACTGGAATAATTTTAATAGCTGTCGGACGAGTGGCTTAGAAATGACAGCAGTCTGAAGTTGGTTGCAGTTTTTTCATCTCTCCCTGTAAATTAATATAAATACACTAAATACGATACCCTTGTATTTAGTGTATTTATATTAATTTACAGGCAGGGACCTCATATGGCTAAGTATGCAACGTTGGGCGCCACATGGGAAGGGGTTGGCCAGGTATGGAGAATTCTGAAACTTTAGAGGATTTTAAATCGACCACAAGGAGACAGGTTCTTCGATACTGAACGTATCATATGTGATTTCTGTTTTAACGATAATATTTAAATAAGATACAAAAATTAAAAAAAAACCTATCGTATCATCCTTTGGCTGAACTACATATCAAATCTGATATTGACTTCGATTTGAAA